AAGATAATAGAAAGTGAAGGGTTGAATTTAGAGGAGGAGAAAGGAAGGGGACCAAAGGAAAAGAGGGACAAGATTGAGATCTGTCTGGTGGAAGACAGAGAGGGAGAAGGAGAAGAGGAGATAATTTTGGCCTTATGGGAGGAGGCTATCGGGGAGCAAAGCGGGAGGAAAAAAAGAAGGAAAGGGGAGGAAAAGAGAGGGAAGAGAAAAGAATTGGAGTATGATAGAATGCAGGGGTTGTTGGAGGACTTCCCTCATTTAAATGTAGGAGGATTGCTGCCTAATCCAGACTCATCTAAAGAAAAAGGGACATTGGTAGATCCTTCAGAAGGGACGGTTGTAGTTTTTCCGCGGGGACAAGGTCACTCAAAGAGGGTGATCCGTACGGACTCTACTTTCAACCACCCACCCCCGGACGGAGATTGGGCCAAACACCCTTGTTGTGGGACAATCTGCACAGTCTGGAGCGCTCCGATGAGGAAGCCCACCGATCAGGAACATTTTGGGCCAGTCCCTCAATGAATCCTGACAATTCCAAAACAGGCTTCTTACCCTCACAATATGGACAGTTACCTGATATCAGTTGTTTTGAACTAGTAGAAGTTGTTATAGATTCACCTGGTGTCAAACTAAGGTAAAGGTAAAGGTTCCCCTTGACAACTTTTGTCCAGTCGCGTTCGACTCTAGGGGGCGGTGCTCATCCCCGTTTCCAAGCCATAGAGCCAGCGTTTTGTCCGAAGACAATCTTCCGTGGTCACATGGCTAGTGCGACTTAGATACGGAACGCTATTACCTTCCCACCGAGGTGGTCCCTATTGATCTACTTGCATTTGCATGCTTTTGAACCGCTAGGTTGGCGGGAGCTGGGACAAAGCAACAGGAGCTCACTCCGTCGCGTGGATTCGATCTTACGACTGCTTGGTCTTCTGACCCTGCAGCACACAAAGGCTTCTGCGGTTTAGCCCGCAGCGCCACAATGTCCCCCTCCCAAATACACCTGTTAATGTTCAAAAAGAGACTCAATTGTCATTTCCCGCCAAAAAGGAGGAACTGTGCCAAATCTTTAATGAACCCAATCCCGATGTAGCAATGGGTGACGCCACAGTTTCTTAAGATCAGTCAATCTGCTCCAATTTCTAGTCTGAACTTTAAAGAAGCTATAAAAAGCATTGAACCTGCTGAAGGGGGAATCACCTTCAGCACCCCGGATAGCTCCAGGGTGCTGAAGTTCAGAGTGAAAGCCAGGGTGGAGGCAGTGGGGCTGAAAAACTGGTGTCCCTGTAATACTCTGTCCTGTCCACACCTCTAGCATGCGGATGATGGCCATCTTGAACGTCCCCAGTATCTCCATCATGGTGCTGCTCACACAGACAAAGACATCTTCAGAGTGAACATGAATGTTCATACCGGCCCAAGTATGGCTTCTTGCTGCCTCCTGGAGAGGCCAATATATCAACCAGGTCATAGAGTTGAAGTCTCAAAGAAATAAGTTGGAGTAAAAAAAAGTGATTAAACCCAAAAAGGATTTAAAAGCTACGTAAATTGAATCCTAACAACTCTGCTTCTTGTAGAAAAAAAAGCTAGCCTTTGGACCAGCCTTACTCATCTTGAATAAAGAAGAGATTACTCCAAGCCACTGTGTCAACCAGAGTTTCAACGCAATACAAAGTCTTCAAACTGTGTACGCATGTAAAATATGGTGGCTGCCGCATAAGCACATGGCGTGTGGGGGCTAAACCCCAGTAGATGGCAACACTTTTCTAGGGTTGTCCTGCCTCAAGGTGTAGTGGTGGACTGAATTTTTGGATGCTTCCTGGGCAGCTTCCCTTACACATAGAAAGCAACCAGGGGAAGACATCAGGCTAGTCTTCCTTCTGGCAAGGTCCTTTTTTGAGGTAGAAGGATGGTTTGCCATGGAAACATACATCTGATCCCAGCAATCTGATACGGTACATTTCCAGAGAATGGGAGCATACAATTCTGCTCCCTGTGTGATCCATTGGCGGAATTGTGTGACTTCACTCTAGATTTAACCACAGCTGTAAAAGTCTACTTTTTCTACTACAGCTCCCACAATCCCCAACAAGTATGGCTGCTACAGAATGCTAGGAGCCGTAGTGCAACTTTCCAAAGCTCTGGATTTTGTATATGACATGACCCATTAAACTGTTACTGTATTTAGTAAAAGTTGGGGTTATGTCATTGTTTGGCTAAGACAGTGGTTGCTAACCTTGGGTTTCCAGATGCTCTTGGACTACATCTCCCAGAAGCCTTCCCCATTAGCTGTGCTGGCCACTGATTTCTGGGAGCTGCTGTCTAAGAACATCTGGGGACCCAAGGTTGGGAACCACTGGGCTAAGATAACGTAAAAGTTGCCTTGGCTCAATATCGTGAACCAACTGGATTCCTTGGCTCAATATCGCGACACAACTTACCGTCCTTCCTGCTTCGTTGTTGTGTCTATTCATGGCCGACCGAGCATCCGGTCTGTTCTCCCTCGCGTCCGCAAACTCCCGAGACACCATGCTGCCGAACTCCACGTCTTCGCTGCAGCCCCCCCATTTCCATCCTTCTCCAGGGGGGCCCTTGTGACGGGTGTCGCAGCCGCAGATGGTGGCCGACCCTTCGGCGCAGGATCTGGTGACCGCGAAAGCCACTCCGGCCGAGGCGATGGCGTGAACGAAGGCTGACTCTCTGGTAGCTGGTGGGGTGGAGGAAGACAGGAGATGGTTCTAAGCCTCCGTGATGTGGCACGGAAACTGGGTTACGTTGGCAAATATATCACTTAAGAGGAACAACTGGGAGAGAATCCTTCCCATCCCAAATAAACAGACAGCAATTTATTTGTCTTAATATTTCGAGAGAAAGTCAGGTCAACCAAATTGTTTCCAGGGACTTTCCTGATGTTGCTCTAGGCAAAAACCTGGTCTGGGTTTAGATCCAGTCAAGAGATGTACCTGGATCAGTGACCCTCACAGACATCTTGGTGATGATGGTAGCCTCCTCTACTCTGTAGGACCATAGCAACGTCCTTGGGAACTCAACGGCGAAAACAGGATACCAAGAAAACCATTTGCGCCTGTGATTTTAGATCAGGCAACAAACCGTTGGGCTCCACCCATAAAATGTTGACTCAGTGTCCCATTGGTTAGTCTGCCTTCTTCAGTGCTTCCCAACTTTGGGTCCCCAGATGTTCTAGGACTACAACTCCCAGAAATCCTGACCAGCACAGCTGGTGGTGAAGGCTTCTGGAAGTTTTAGTCCAAAAATATCTGGGGACGCATGGTTGGGAACCACCGGTCTACTTGCTTTGCACCCCATCCTTCTCTAAAATTGGTATTCAAGGAGATTCACAAGAGAGTTAACAAAAAAAAATAGATCTTTAATGTCTTTTTAGACATAAACTCCCAAAATATGTCAGCCCAACAAAATAGGACCCCTTAGCTTTCCTGTACATTCTTAAATTAATCATTTGAAGTGCATTAAGTCCTGGAAGGAATTTAAGGAGAGAGAAGCAACTCATTTTCCAATGGAGCTGCCCCATCCAGAACTCCGGAATGTTGGCATCAAGGACTGCAACTCCTGAAAATAAAGCTAGCCATTCTGGCCGTGGGATTCTGGGAGTTGTTGTCCAAAAGAGTCACATGCCCCATCTCCCCTTAAAAAAAAAAAAGGTATACAGCTAGCAGAATCAAAAGCCATATTGTGAAGATGCAATCAGACGAATGTTAGGATCAAAACTCAATTGCATTAAAAGCGCTTTAAAATGCATCCTTTAAAAAAAAAAGTACAGCAAGTTGCAAGTTCCATCCTCAACCAACAGGCAATGATTGAAGGGGGGGGGAAAGATGTTTTCTGGCACAAGGGCAGTGGGGGGTCCTTACATGCCAGGGCATCCTCTTCCGTTTGGTTGAGAACAAGGGGGAGGGGCGTTTCCATTTCATTATTTAATTATTTTAAATATTTCTACCCCGCCTTTTTCCTTAACAGGCCCTGAGGCAGCCTACAACAATTAAAATACCATATTTAAAAGCTAAAAGCAGCAAGCGTACAAATATTAAAAAGAATTTAAACAAGTATTGTATTCAAAAACGGTCAATAAAATCAATATGGAAAGCACCCTGAATAACAACAGAGCACAACAACCTTTTTAAAATTTATTTTTTTAAAAAAAAAAAACACCCTCTCAGGCTGCTGATCTCTAAGGAAAACTTGCCCGAAGAGAAAAGTCTTTTATCTGCTTGCGGAAGGGCAGCAAAGATGAGGCCAGCCGGGCCTCCAGTGGGAGGGAGTTCCAACGTCTGGGAGCAGGGACAGAGAAAGGTCCTTTTGAAGGAGAAAGGCAGAATAGAGCTATTTTAAATAAATAAATAAGGCCCTCTCCTGTGTCGCCATCAGGTGATGGGCCCGAGAGAAAGGCCTCCCCTGATGATCTTAATGCCCGAGAGGTTCCATGAAGTTCAAGGTACCAACAGAAACCAGCTAAAGGCACTCCAGCAGAACACGGGGGTGCCCACCAGGCGTTCAGGGTATACTGCTACTGAAAATGGAGGACCCACTAGCTATAACAGTTAACAATCACACTGACCGGGGGGATTTTCGGACTTGCAGATTCCCCCCCCCCAAAAAAAAACCCTCTTTCCTAAGCTCAGGAAAAAACCTGGTCCTATAGAGAGCAACCAGCTAATCCTGGACATAAGCGGTCAACCTGGAGCAGGTTTGTGGGTCACTAGGCTGAGCGTCAGTGGGGGAAAGGGAGAGAGAAGGAGAGAAGACGAGGACGCCAGAAGATGTTGGGGATACGAAACATGCTGCCATCAGGAAGACGTTGGATTCTTTCGGCAACAGCTGGGTTGCTGAAATGACCCTCTCTGGCTTCCAAGGAGGTTGCCCGAGGCAGGCCGGGGAGGCGGTGGGGGGGGGAGGCTGCAAGAAAGCCAGGGAGGCCTCGGAGATGGAGATAAACCAGAGGGGAAAGCATGCAACTCGCAATGGAAATGAGGGGTTATTAAGGTGCCATATAAAAATGTAAGAGCCTCAGCAGGGATGAGAGAAGAGATGCAGCCAGAGGGGTGGGGTGGGGGGGCTCCGCCGATTATTTGATGTCAACCTCCCTGGGTGGTTCTCCAAGGGAGCTTCGGCAGAAGAGGCGGGGGAGCAGGTTGGGACTTGAGACGGAAAAGTCGGTCACTCGGAGAGCATTCCTGACAATTCAACCGCCAAAAATAAAAAACTGAGATTAGGGAAGGTTACTCTCTTTTTTTGGAAGGGGACTCTCATTCCCAGAATCCCCAAAAAAACCCTGAGATTAGGGAAGGTTACTCTCTTTTTCTGGAAGGGGACTCTCATTCCCAGAATCCCCCCCACCAGCAGGGGAGTTGTAGTCCAAATCGTTCCTAGCTCTGCCCTCTCCAGAATTCCTTGGGTTGGACGGCCGGGTGGCTTTTTCCTTTCGAGAGTCCCCCGGTCCTCCGGTCAGCCCTTGGAATGGAGGACAGGACTCCCTAAAACCGGACAAGGGGCCACCCCCGTGTGGGAGCGTCATTTGGGGGCTATCCTCAAAATAATAATAATAATAATTTTGCCAGCAGGGGGTGCTGGCAGTTCTGCCTCCCTCCTCCATGTAATGCCAAAATGCTACAGCATGTGTACATAGAGCATATTATTTCTCGAGTAGAACTCTTATGTAAAACAAACCTTTTTTTTTTTAAAGGAAAGCCTGATCCAACATTCTGCAACAGTGTTCCCCCCCAAAAAAAATCAGTACACACAGAGAAAACAGAAATGTATACAGTCCAAATACAGAAGTATAAAGGGTCTGCCCATAAATATAAGAAATAGAGTTAAGGATATACTTTAAAGCCCAGAAATGGGATATAATTACAGAGTTTCCTTTTCAAAACTCTGTGTATCAGATTTCTTATTATCGGCAACAGCAGTCTTTCCTGATTCTGTCTGGTTTGCTTGCTTCCTGTCTTATTTTTCTTTTTGGTTCTTGAAGCATTTTGAAGCAGCTTTTCCTCTTTACCTGCGCACCTCCGCTTGAAAAATAAACCAACCCCAAAGGCATCAGGAGACAAAATACAGCAAATGCGGTAAAACAGAACCAGTCAATTAAGTTTCACAGACAGGCAAAAAGGGGATGAGCTTGCAGGCGCGCAATTGTAAGGTCCCTGAGGAGGAATACGTCAAAAAAGCCCTTTCCCAAATGGAAACACCCTCCGGAATTTCCTGACATCCAAAACTATTTCAGTTGCCATAACAGTGCGGATTGTATAGAATATTTTAAACTGCATTGTCTTTGGGAGTTGTCTCAAGAGTATGTTTGCAGGACACACACTTGTCAATTGCTCAATAAATAAATCATTCCCATCTCTTATTTAAAGCATTTGTATACTTACTGTTTTCAGCTTCAAATATTATCTTTTAATGATATAAGCAGGCTCCACAACCAGAGAGCTAAACCACTGAGCAATCCAGCAGTTCTACCAAACATAAACTTCTTCAAGAGGAGTCAAACTCTGCCTCCTTCAAGTCAAGAGGCAACTGGAGCCTCAAATCCACTTCCACAACCCAGCCATGGCACCTTTTATAGACCCAGGAAGGGCAGGGTCTTACCAAAATACCATGAGCAAACCACAGGATACCCCAAGCTACCCTTAAGGAAGGAAGGAAGGAAGGAAGGAAGGAAGGAAGGAAGGAAGGAAGGAAGGAAGGAAGGAAGGAAGGAAGGAAGGCAGGAAGGAAGGAAGGAAGGAAGAAAATAAGAAGGTGAACAACAGAATAAAACAGTCTTCTCCAACCTGGCATCTTTCAAATGTCTCTGACAATATCTCCCAGGAATCTGGAAGGCACCAGAGGAAGCTGCAGTAGACTAAAGAGCAGAAGCAAATTTGGGGTGCCCAGGCAGCTGCTTTTTAAAAAGTCTGACCTTTTTATGGGAAAACACAATCCAAGTATCTATTATGTGCATCGTAATTGTTTTGTCACATTGTCCAGATGATTTTGGAGTGAGGCCCTTTTGGTTATGACAAGTGGCTGGTTTTGATTCTATAGTAGTTACAAATAAGAAGTGCTTGTGTTGGATATAATGACATAATGTATAACAATTTCACCTTGGGTAACAGTCCGTATACAAGTTACAAAACCCTCCCAAAAGTGCTGCTTTGGCAAGTAGATGATGAAGATGATGCCTTCTTAACTACTGTGAGAGAAGTGAAAGAGTACACCTTCCCTGCAGAGCTTGGAGAAGTTAATGCTTCTAACAACAACACCCAGCATCCCCAGAAAACTGGCCTTGCCAGTGGAGGCTGAGGAGGAGCCTCCACATTTGCTTCAATTCCTTGCTTCTTGGGTAGACTGGTCAAGCGCACTACACTATCCATGAGGCAGTGCGACCGTAAGCCAACAGCATGAATTTAAAAGCCTCAGAGACCTAACGTTCCTACAGCCAACTGTGGACCTTGTTCCCTCCCATGTAGACCCTCACTCTGGGGCTGTGAAGAGGATTTCCGCGTAAGGGTTTCAGCGCCTTGACCACACAGTTCGTAGACAGACACAGGGAAACGGTCATTCCCCTGCACGCTTCTGTACGGCCATTCATTCCCCTTCTGTTTCTCACCCCTAAATGCTGGAAGGGTGGGCCTTCTTTAAAATTTCAGCCTCGTTGTAACGTAGAAGTTACAATCCGCATAACTGCAG